TGATTCTATGATTCTATGATTCTAAATCTAGTGCTATATGAGGACAGCTGTCTGAGGAAACGCATCTCCAAAATACTGATTTCCAGTGTCTGATTTTAAGACACTTTTTGCTGCTTTTTTTGTCAGAGCTGTTATGTCTTTACAGTGAACATGTTCTGTGGAGTTTCTAATATTTTAATTTCCAAATTGCAGCATGCAGTCAAAAGTGATAATACTGAGATCACGTAATCACTTACTAAAGCTTTTAATGTATGGAGTCACCTTTTTTACTGCCTGCGTATGGTGACAAAACTGTAATATGGAAAGCTCAGAATGATGTTGGTAGCTGGTTGAGTTAGCTTTGATGTTTCAGTTTCGCTGCCCCACCATGTATTAAACATTGCCACAAGCCTTGAGTACGGAGTCTCAGTCTTGTTTGCTTATAATTCCACCAAAGTGTGACTGTATTGGTCAGAAGTTTCTGTGTCTCACTCTGCCTCAGCGTGTTTGTAAATTCAGATACCTCTAAAGCTTTTCCAATAGGGTTGTCTTTGTCAGGTGCAGCTTTTGCGATCTTCGTGAATATTTGCTTGTGTTTGATGAAGCTGGCAATATTTGAATACTTCTGCATCATGCATTCTGCATCAAAGCCTTGTTTCTGCTGATTTTCCAGCCAGTCTTCGGCATGAGACTGAGCAGGGTTTTCCCTGCAATTACATCTTTCTGTGACTTAACTGAGAGCAGGGAGACTTCCTTGTGCCTTTGACTTACCCGCTCATGCCTCAGAGTAAACGGCTTCCTTAGTATTCTGGATAGAAGGACAGCTGAAATTCTGCCTCATTTCTTGGTCAGTGGCTTGGCTTCATTTTGGTTCTTGCAACAAGAGCTGCTTTGGACTGAATTATACTTGTAGCTGGCCACTCCGCTATTGCTCAAATTTATATTTAATTCCATTATTCATACTAAATCTCTTCTGGATGTTGAAGCATCAAGTACATGAAGACCATTCTTTGAAGAGACATCTCTTTAGACATCTGTCTGATTTGATGAATTAATTATATAGTAAAGTAGCGTTACGTCTTAGTTTTGAGACTTCTGATGGCAGCTGTGTATCTTGAGTTTGGAGTCCTTCTCCAGGTTTGGTTGCTTATGAAATATATACGGATCCAAGGGATTTTTTCAGGCTTTGGTTTCCACTTCAACCTACTGGCAGTTTTAAGTAGCTTAACTAATAGGGCATGACATTCTTTCTGACATTTACAAAACTTTTGCCTCAGCACTTAGTTTCACTCAGGATTTTGGGGAGAGGGTGGATGGTCCTCCTGTCATGGAGTATTCAACAGGATTTTCAATGGTGGAGGTACGTTTCTAGTAGGTATGGGTTTTCTTTGTTTGTGTTGAAGTGGTAAACTTGCCATATATTTCTCTGGTTAACAATTTTCATTTGTTACTTCACCAGTTTTGAGGGATTTGTAGGAGTTGCAGAGCTACTATTCTAATACAAATACTCAAATACGCTAGGTAACTTATGTGTAAGTAAGGTCTCCGGGGAGACCTTATTGCGACTTTTCAATATATAAAGGAGGCTTATAAGAAAGATGGAGAAAGACTTTTTACCAGGGCCTGTAGTGACAGGACAAGGGGCAATGGTTTTAAACAGAAAGAGCGTAGATTTAGGTTGGATATAAGGAAGACATTTTTTACAATGAGGGTGATGAGACACTGGAACAGGTTGCCCAGAGAAGTTGTGGATGCCCAATTATTGGAAGTGCTCAAGGTCCGGTTGGATGGGGCTTTGAGCAACCTGGTTTAGTGACAGGGGGGTTGGGCTAGATGATCTTTGACGGTCCCTTCCAACCCAAATCGTTCTATGTTCCTATGATTCTACTGCCTGCAGTCAATGATAGGGAGATGAATTGTTTACTTTTCCTTAAGACCATATGTAAAAATCACCTACAGTGTCAAATTCATAAACTGTCTAGCCCAGCGTGCTGTTGCAAACTGTGCAACAGGCATTGCTATTTACAAGTTGCGTGCAAGTCTAGCTGTTCCTGGTGTCCATTATCCTTGTACTCTCTGGCATCTGCAGTTCTGTGAGGTGGTGTATACTTCAACATCATCTTTCCTTCAGTGTCTGTTTGTCGGGGAACTTGTGTAATCTCTCTTCAAATCTGTTGGCACAGTCTGCGTCACTAATCTCAAGTGGAAACAAACCCAGAAGTTTGCTACTTGCAGCTTAAAAGAGCACTTTCTTTTATCTGTTTTAAACCAATCTCCAACTAGTTTCAGTGAGTGCCCTCTGTTGTGGGATTTGGTGATTAACAGTTAATCATTCACCTTATCCACTGCCTTCCTGAATCTTTGCACTTTGATCATATACCCCCCTCAGCCTTCTCTTTTCCAGGTTAGTGTCAGCCTTGTTAGTCTCCTAGGGCAGCTGCTTTATTCCCTTAATTATATTAGTCTTCCTTCTCTGCTTTCTCTTAATTCCACCAAGTCCTCCATGAAATGTGGCTGCCAGAACCGCACCCAGTACTGAATATGTGGGTATATGAGGGTTTTATGGAGAGTCAAAATGATGCCCTCTGTGTTGTTCTTAAATACTGGGCACCACTAGGAAGGTGAATTATTGCTATTTCTGGTGGCTGCTGCTGCTTGCATTGAGCTGATGTTTAAGAGAATCGTGAGTGGTGATGAAAGATACCTCTCATGAGCTGTAGCTGCTACAATTTAGTTGAATGTCACATAAGCATAGTTTAGCTTTCCCAAGATTTACCACCTTTTATTTATCTATGCAGAAGATCATATGTCACCTTTTATTCACTGGGTTTTGTGAGACCCTTCCACAGTAGCTCACCATTGGTACAGCACTTAACTGCCCATTTGATTTCTTGGACCAAGTTCTCCGTTGGCATGCAGATCATTCAGTTCAGCAAGGAAAAAAAACCCAAGACCAAACCCTGAGAAACACCTAGCTGCTCAATATTGTCAAAGCGAATTATGTCTTTAAATTCTTCAACTATCAAGGCTCAGGTAAGCTTTTCTGCATACATCTGAGCAATGTGTGATAGGTCTTGCTGCCCATATTCAAGTCTTGAGCAGTTTAATTTCTGATTTGTGTTGTTTGTAGTATCTGATAGTAAAACTGCTTTGGTTTATATTCAGAAGGTTATTAATTACAACTTAAATTTTACACTGACTGCTGTTTACCAAATAAGTAGCCAGTCATACAGTTTTATTAATGACTTCGTTAGACTGTATAGCCCCTATTAGAAGTTATTGCCCAGATGCCAGAAAATATTCAGATTTTCTTTGAGGTTCGTCCATTCATGAACCCAACTAGCCAACTGTAAGATAGAAGACAATTTTTTTTTTTTTTACAGACAGTGTGAAACTCTTCTAATCTTTAGATCTTCTGAAACCCAGAATAGTCAATAACTCTATCTCATCTCTAACTGCTTCACAGCTTTACATTCATAATTGGTATGTTTCTTTCAAATTAGTTATCATTTTTGTTAGGTAGTATTAGGTAGTATTGGGTATTATGTTTTGTTAGGTAGTATTTTGTGTTCTGAAACTTATTAGTGAATTTTTTTCTGAATAAACAAGTGGAATTGGTTCCATTTTTATGCTTAGAACAGTTATTTAGCACTGCCTGAGTGGCATAGCACTGGATGAGCTTTTCTTCAAGATACATCTGTACTGGTGGAGGATGGGGGGTAATTCAAACTGTGGCCTTAACTTAACTTCCCCTTTCCCCTTAAGTACTTCTCTTCACTTTTCATGCTTGCCACTATTGCTTATAAAGATTTTGCTGAGTTTGCGGAAGAGTCAACAGTATCAACAGAACTTTAAGAAGAAACTATAGGCAAGATAGATTTCAGACTGTGTACAATGGTGTTCTTTTGTCTGTTAGGATAATTTTAGGAATTACTTTTCAAGAAAAAATAGTTGTTATTAAATTAATGCTGTTGTGATATGAACCTGAGAGTATTATGAGGTGCTTGTAACTTGTGGCATGGATTGGGATTATTTATAATTTTGATATGATCTTTATTTTGGTTTTGCAGGTTTGGACTAAGCAACAAATTTGAAGCAGAATTTCCATCATCTTTAACTGGAAAGGTGAGTATCTGTGAATAGGAATTTGGAATTAGAGTTAAGATTTTATTACAAAAACGAGTTCCAGGTGTAGACCATTGGAAAAGTAATAAATCGCACTGCTGTGGTACTAGACTGTTTTTTGTTTGTTTCCCCCCCACCCCCTTGTAGGTTGCACCTGAAGAATTTAAAGCCAGCATCAGTAGAGTTAACAGTTGTCTTAAGAAGAACCTTCCAGTTAATGTACGATGGCTACTATGTGGATGCCTTTGCTGCTGCTGCACTTTAGGCTGTAGTATGTGGCCAGTTATCTGCCTCAGTAAAAGAGTAAGTTGAACTATTTATATAATTTTTGATAGTTAGAATTGTACTGGGTTTGTTCTTTTGTTGTGGTTTTTTTTCCCTCCCCCACCTTTAAAAACTGTGTGCTAGGACTTACTTAAATTAGTTTGATTTCATACATTTTGGTATCAGTTGTCTCTCATACTAGTTAAAGTTACAACAGACACCAGTCAGAACTTTGGGCTTATAACTCAACGAGTGGTAGTATAGCTGAATGTCTTTGCTAGAACCATGTATCGTGCAGCACTTATTATTATTGAAGTAACTTTCAACATACCTTTTTTAATAGCTGCATCTTCTCTGTGATACACTGTTTGGGATTATCAGAATTTGGCAGTGATTGAGTGGCAGTTTGTTTTGAGGAGCTTCTGATTACACTGTGGCTCAAATAGCCATATGTTTTTGCTTAAAAAGGCAATTTTTTAAAAGATAATAATTGACTTTTCTTTCTGGATTTTCTTTCCAAGCTGTAGATGAGTAAGATTTTTTTTTAACATTAAGAACTAGAAAGTAGTGTTTTGTCTGTGTACACTTGACATTTAGTGTATTGTTCACAACAGAAGTTCATTGTGTGTGCCTGTTTTTTCACTTCCTTTCCCTCTGCAGTTAATTAGGCTACCCTCCCATCTCTTCTGTTTTCATGTGCGTAAAAATTGTCTTTGGCTAATCCTATTTCACTACTTCGCAAGAAGTCTCTGTGCCTCCCCATCCTCTCCTCACTATTAGTACTGCTCATCTTTCCATTTCATGGAAAGGCTTGTGTATGTTCTGTCTTGTGTAATACCTCTTAATGCTACAAATTGTGTACAGTTCAGTACACCGAACATCATCATGATTTTCTTTATCAAAGTCCTCATTTTACAGGGTCAGTAAATCAAGGCATTCTAAAAAAAAATATTTATAGGATCACACTGATCATAAAAAAACCTGAACGCATTTTTGTATCATCTAACTTTCTGTGTTAAGATCTTAATGCTTAGTCCCTTTGAGAGATTAGTTAAGGCTAGTTTTAATTGTATACAAAATAAGGTAGAAAAGCTTCCTGGTAACGTTGGAGTCTGTGGAGAAAAAACGGTAAAATGTTGGCATCAGTGTGAATTATATCAAACCCTAGTTTTTCTGTCTTTAAGCTGTCACAGACGAGTAAGTCTTCTGTAGCATGATTGTATATCCATATCCTGAAAGTCTGTTACAAGAAATTAGAATTTGCTGATTGCTTCAACAGGTAAGTTAGGGGCTTAACTAGCTTGCAGAGAAGACTACCGTTACCGTTCTAGGCCTAGCTCTGTTTGTTACAAACACAAGGGAAGCTTGCATTGCTACTGTCCAGGTTTAACTTCTAAAAGAGAAAGCTTCTGGTGCTCTTTAGTTTGACCCATTTTTCTCACATAATGTGCTGTTGTAGCAGGAAATGATAGCAGGATGTAACATGCTAGGGGCTGATGCCACAATCCCTCATCTTTTAAACTGGGGCCTCTTAATCTGTTACCAGAATTCACAAATAATCAACTTTTTATACATTGTTAAATAAAGTCAGAAAAAAGGCGGGGGCTTGTAGCATTTGGGGCCAGAAAACAGAGTTTGAAGCTCAGGTTCTGTGTGGGAACCCAGTGAAGCAATGGTTAGAGAAGTGCTTCCATTAAAGTTTGCATGGGATAGGAGTTAAGGTAAGCTCCCTTCCAAAAGGATAAATCTAGGAAAAAAAACCCCCAAAACAACCATGGATACTCTGTTCAGAGGAGGCTGGAAAGAGATTAGTGGTGAAATTGTTGCTGTAATATACAAACTGCATAAAGACAGAGGAGTCTCAGAAAGAGAACGAACAGCAGGAGCAAGGACAGAAACTTGGGGTTGAAGTTGCAGAAGTCATCCTAGAGGTATGGCCCAGACTGTCAGTAAATGTTGCGTTTTTCCTGTTAAAGCTGGTACCAGGAGACATTTAAGGACCTTTGCACCTTTTCCTGTACTTAAGATTGGGTGACTCAGGCTCAAACTTGGATGTCCAGCATTAGTGACATTGAGGTTAGGACTCAGCTGCCTAAACACAGTATCTTGTGCCACTGTGGATGGCACAGTGGTGCTAGACACTGATGGCACTGAATACCTGAATACCTGAAACCTGGCAGTTTGATTACTTCCCCAGAATGAAAATCACTTAAGTCAATCTGGAGACTTCAGATCTTGTGACAACATCATTTGTCCATGTCAGCAGCTCAGCAAATGGAATTCTGCTTAGAAGGTTGTCTGTCAGAGAGAGAACACAGAACTTGGTGTCGGTTAGGCATCTGTAGAGTATAATGTAGAGAAGAATTAATTAACTTGTGTTCTTAAAGACAAACTGAAAGGGACAAGAATGCTTTCCCAAATTATAACTCTTAATCCTGAACCTGGCCGGGAAAGACTTTTTTCTAGTAGAGGAGGTAAGGAGGAAAGCTGTGGAATATTTTCAAGGATGTATTTGCAAATTCTAATATAGGAAACAAGCAGAAGAATTTGTAATGATTCTCGTCAGGGCTACCACTCACAGAAAAGCAGTAAAAAGTTACTGCCACTTGAGTTGCTTGAATAGGTATGGGTGGATTCAACTTTATTTCTTGGTAGACCCAGATCAGGAAAGTACAAAGGGATTTATATCCTTTAAATCCCTCTTACCTGGAATTACAGGTTTTGTATCCTTTAAAATCTCTGTACTGAATTGCATCCACAGGCTTGTAAGATTTTTCTTTTATGCAGGACTTTCCGTCAGTTTATGTCAAAGTGCTATGACAAGTGCAGGAAACTAATTGTATGTATTTTCCTAGAAGTGGGGAAAGTGAGGGACAGTGCATGATGTGAATTACCTGGAGCTGCTCAGCAAATTGACAGCAGTTGTAAATACAACCTGGTTCATCTAGGTTCCAATCTGTAATTTGCTCAGTAGATTCCAGTAGAACTGTGACAAGAAGCAACTTCATATTCTTCCACTAAAAAAAAATTTAAATCTATATAGACTATTTTGGTTTGCTGCTAGTGCCACAGTTTTGCTGATACATAGCAGACTAATGTATTCAGTGTGAAGTAATCACTTACATTTGAACTCTTGTACTGCTCGTCTCTGACATTACTGTGTCTTGGAAGAGGATTGTGTTGATCAAATGGTCTTCCATGCTTTGACTTCTTCAGATCTCCTTTCACTGGCTAGACTCCAGCATAGGTATAGTTGCAACAGCCAGCTTCACTTCTTGAGGAAACAGGGATCCAGGATGACATGTGCCTGTTTCTTCCCTTCAGCTTTTAGATACAATGGATTCTTTCCCATGGACACTCACAATGTAAAACAATTATAACAAATTAACAATAAATAAAAGTATTTTACAGTACCTGCACTTGTCTAAGAAGTGTTGCCCAGAGAGCTTTGCTAATTCAGCCCTGTCCTAAGTGGCTCCTAGTGAAAGGACAATTACTTGGAACTGGCCTGTGTTACATCCTTTGCTGCAGTGATCACAAAAGACTCCCAAGACCATATAATTAGAGAGTTTCATTTCTGAAAGCAGGATGGGAGCGTTCCCATGTAGAACTGAAATTTGTGTAGAACATGTTTTAATTGCACAACAAAAATATACCAGCCTTCATCTTTGCCCTTTCCTACTGAAATAGAAGACTAACAAATTTGTTTTGTTGAATTGCATATACAGTGAGCTAACAAGTGGGAGTGTTTCTCAAGTTAAGGATTTTATTAAATGAAACAACAGTTTCAACTATACAATTGCATACTTTTAATGCAGAAGAATAATTTTTCTCAGAATGACCAATTAAGAAATGCCTGTTTTAATGAGGCTGAATCAATCTACCATGCTCTTAAATTGCTGGTATACTTTGCAGCTTTTTCTCAGAGAAACATTTTTTTTTTTAAGGTTCATGTAGACAAAATAAAAGCTGCAGCTTCAGAGTTTGTGAAGTTACAATAATTCTCTTAATCTTTCTTTGTATTCTGTATTTTTACTGCCTTTCATTGACTTTTTTAATTCTAACGTGGGAATGTTATCACAAATGTAAATATGATTTTTGAAATTACAGACAACTATTGAAAGTTTGTGTATAATAGGAATATATGCTTATTTTTGTGCAGTGAAAAATAAGTTATGGGTTTGTCTCCTTAAATCAGCAGGTGCTTCAAACTAGGAATTTATTAAGTCACAGACATTTATAAGCTTAATTGTTAATTATATCACTTTAATGCATTTCCATGCAATGAAAGCTTCCCTTCACTGTATTTTTCTTTTCAGTGCTTTGTTCAGTGCTAGTTTTGGAAGTCTTTGTACAGTATTGTTTCCTTCCTTTCTTCTGCATTGAGATATTTGAGAAAAAGCCTGCTACTCTTCACCAGTCGAATAAATGTTTAATTTGATTCAATATCTTATTGCCTCTCTCCTTTCATGTGGTCTTGATTCGATTTTAATGAATAAAAGCTGCAAGAAAATTACAGGAAATACAGTCCCTCATTTGCAGATCTAGATCGTCAATGATCTTCAGCAGTTTTACTCACAGATTGTACCATCCTTTCTGGGACAAGTTCCAGATTGCACAAATGAACATTAAGTCTTTAAGTTATTGTTCTTCAAATAAAAAGAATGACATAGTGAATTATAATTCAAAAAGCACTACAGGCTGAGGTGCCCATTTGAAGCCACTTTTTCAAATGAATTGACACTTATTTTCAGTGTTCAGTAAATGCTATAGTTCCTGATGTGTAAATAGGATAAATAATTTCAACAGAAACGGTAGCAATGAAAGCTGTGATAGAATTGCAGTACCACTAGATTTCTTAAAAGCTGGTATTGTACATGTAAATTGCATGTTTCAGAAGGTTCATGGGCAATCTCTTAAAATGAATAGAATGAGATATTTAATAGCGATCTGTACTAATACTTTCAAGAGCTACTTGTTTGTTTGTGAATTCAAACAAAGCTGTTGAATGCTGCTTAAGCCTCATCATTAGTTGTCAC